CTCTCCAGATAAACTCTCCAGAATATGGGTGTGAAGCATGGGTGATGAATGTTGTAGCGAGGAGAAGGATGGAGGCAGTGGAGATATCATGTCTGAGGGCAATGTGTAGTGTGAATATAATGCAGAGAATTTGTAGTTTGGAAGTTAGAAGGAGGTGCGGGATTACCAAAACTGTTGTCCAGAGGGCTGAGGAAGGGTTGTTGAGGTGGTTCGGACATGTAGAGAGAATGGAGCGAAAGAGTGACTTCAAGAGTGTATCAGTCTGTAGTGGAAGGAAGGCGGGGTAGGGGTCAGCTTAGGAAAGGTTGGAGGGAGGGGGTAAAGGAGGTTTTGTGTGCGAGGGGCTTGGACTTCCAGCAGGCATGCGTGAGCGTGTTTGATAGGAGTGAATGGAGACAAATGGTTTTTAATACTTGACGTGCTGTTGGAGTGTGAGCAAAGTAACATTTATGAAGGGGTTCAGGGAAACCGGCAGGCCGGACTTGAGTCCTGGAGATGGGAAGTACAGTGCCTGCACTCTGAAGGAGGGGTGTTAATGTTGCAGTTTAAAAACTGTAGTGTAAAGCACCCTTCTGGCAAGACAGTGATGGAGTGAATGATGGTGAAAGTTTTTCTTTTTCAGGCCACCCTGCCTTGGTGGGAATCGGCCAGTGTGATAATAAAAATAATAAATAAATAACCTACCAATACATTGGCAGGCCCCCTAGTCTCAAATTTGCTTAATTAATTTGGCCCCCGCTAGTCAAGCCAATCATGGCCCCACAAACTGGGTTGTATACACATTTACTTCGACTACAGTTACAATTAACCTAAAAAACGAAAGAAATCATTCATCTTCAGTGAAAATTCAACTTGTTAGTGATCTCTAAATATTACTAGGGTCTAGTGAAATTACATTATAATCATCAAATGAAACATTTTGACAAAATACCCTGTGAAAAAAGTCTGAATTTTTCATGTACATGCATAAGGACAACCTTAAACTATCTGTGCATATTATTACAGTACAGCCTCTCCTCACTTAACAACGGAGTTTCATTCCTAAGACCATGTCGGTAAGTGAATTCATTGCTGAGCAAGATGTATACTATAATGCTACTGGGTTTGTGTCACCCATCTTTGATATTGTTTTAATGTCACCTTTGTGCCACTTATAACATTCTTAGTATATTTTTAAATGTTTATACAGTAGTGTATAATAAACAGAATAAAGGAAATCAGCCATTTAGGTATGCATAATGGTCAGAGAGCCTGTCGAAAGTCCGAGTTGTTGGTAAACGAGTACATCACTGAGTGAGAAGCTGTATTGCATTCATGGGGGAAATGCTAAACCCATAATGACATATGGTGCCAGGGAAATGGGAGATAATCACGTTATCAAGGGAAGGACAGCTTCAGTAACTTGGATCAGTTTCCTTCATAAGCAATATATATCTAAGTGGCGATAAATTAGCGTTTGATTTGAGTGGGTTCTTCTAGCTTTAGAGTGACTTACAAAATTGACTACAGCATATAAAATCACAGTAAAAGTTTAAAATTGTGCATGATTCCTAAATAAACACTTAATACAGGAGTGCCCTGCTTATACATCAGGTTAGGTTCTGGGCTACTGCTGTAAAGTGAAACATAGCTTTTATTCACTCAAATGCATATAAAAGCCTGATAACATATTTACACTGTCATGTATTAAGTGAGCAATAGAGCTAGGCCTAAAAAATGCGTGTACAGTACACAGTTACTTAATATATTTTCTTACTTAGCTTATAATGAGTGGTGACTATATTTATTGTAAGTAGTCTGAATAAATGAATAGGTATCATTGAAAACCGCTGTATTAGTGAAATGCTGTAACGCAAAGTTCTGTAATGCAGAGCCCTCCTGTATATATAATTAATTAATGAAGGTATGTGCCTTCTTTTTGAATGACCTGCCACATGCAGTACTGTTAAGGGAGCATGTGGGCAATTTTCCGCGCGCGCTCGACCAAAAATCGAAAAATTATGGAAATTGAGTTATATATACCAAAAAATAGCTTAACTCTTTGGCAACACAATGGTACAAGAATCAATGTTCTAAGACGTTTCTACAAGAAATTATAGTCATTTATATCAGGTATGGTAACGACGATGTAGGTAGCTCGTCTGTTCTCAACCCAAGTATTTTTTGGAATTTTTTCCTTGTTTTTTATTGCTTTTTCTTTGCATTATTCTTTCTAATATAATAATTGATTATTTGGCATCATATAAGAGTAGGTGGAGCTGATCAGTAGAGTGCCAGCCAATAGGGAGCCATCTGAGAACACTCGGCAGTACTCCCCCTCCAGATGGTGCCAGGTGAAATCACTTCATTATTACGTTTATATCAGCTTATATATCAACTATACGGCTTATTTATCTATCAGAATTGATCTAATATGATATAATAAACACTATAAATAACAAACAAACATGTTATATACTCTAGACTGAATAAAATAGGCCATAATATAGCGAGAGTCCACCAGCAATATTTCGATATAAATGAGTTACTCCTGGTCTCCTTGTTCTATTGTTTGGTATGTGAGTGATAGAAAACGGTGTTTTGAAGAGGATAACTGCACTAGAACATCAGTTTACTAAGAAATACACCAAAAAAAACCCGATTTCCGCGCAAAAAAAAATTTTTTGAGACGGTAGGCCTGCCGACGTTTTCTAGGCCTATATCTCGGAAGTAACTTTTTCACATATTTCGCTAAAGTACACCATTATTAATGATTGTATTGAAATGATTTTCACTGACAATATAAAACAAGGTGTGTTTGAAAATCTGATGTTTCTTTTTTTGGAATATATCAAATATTTTTGATTTTGTGGGAGGTAAAAGGCAGATATTTTGGTGAATGCAAAAAAGTCTTATCAAATGTATTTTTTTTTTCCATGATAATAAGATATATTAGATGAAACATGTTCCTCCAAAATTAGTGTCAGATGTATTCTAACGGTTGGGATTGTCGGAAGTGCCACTCGAAGTGCCATTTCGTCATACTTTGCTGCCATATATGAAGTCACTGAAATATTTTTTTCTCTGTTGTTTGTTGGCCAATCATACTGAAACTTTGTCACATTCTTCTACATATGAACCTCTAAATGTACACCAAAAATAAAAAAAATTGGTTGAAAAATAAAAGAGTTGGCAAAATCAGGGGGGGTACCCTTAAGGGTACAGTTTGTAATGGCTGCTGTGTACTGCTAATAGGTACTGTATGTTGTCCGTCATGTTCCCCAAAATTGAGAATGCAAATTAAACAATGTTTGATCTCTGGCATTGTCTGAGACACTTTGTAGCTGTTTGTACTTGTTGATAATGTTGAAATGCGTATTTTCTTCATAAATTCTATTTAACATATGACTTGATGTGCTGTAGGAGTGTGAGTGAAGTAACATTTGTGAAGAGAATCAGGGAAACCAGTTAGCCAGACTAGAGTCCTGGATGTGGGAAGTACAGTTCCTGCATTCTGAAGGAGGGGTGGAGATATATTGCAGTTATTGAACTATAGTTATTGGCACACCTCTGGCAAGACAGTGGAGTGAGTGATAATGAAAGTGTTTCTTCTTTTCTGGGTCACCCTGCCGCATTGGGAAACTGCTGATGTGTTAAAAGAAGAAGAGGAAAAAAAAGTATGACCATATCAGTGTCCTTATCCTTTTCCCTGTTCCCAGGGCTCTGGGAAGGAAACATTGGTCTCTTTTAAACATTATGTTCAACATTTGTTGTGCTTTTATAAATCTTTAGTACATTTGTTAAATATTTTGTGATATTTTTTTAGGCAAATATTACCACCTACTAGAATGTTCTGTTGTATGTATTTAAAATATCTGGGTCTGTAAATTATATAGTATATCCAGTGTATGTTAATATCATATGCAAAGGAATTTTATGTCAGTAAGATACTAATGAAGTACTGTATAAGAATTTTGGCATTTAAACAGAACTTCAGTGGGTGGGTATGGGAGGAAGTGCACACACACACACATTAATAATATACCATTTTCCAGTTCAGTTTGTTAAATCTCTGTGCCATGGTGGAATTATATCCATCTTCCCTTAGTAACAAACTTAATTGTTTTCCATTTCCCAGTTGCTGTATGACCCCCAGAACAGGATTAAGATTTTGTAGGCCCCTGCACTACAGGTACTGGAAGGTCCCCAGTGATATTTTCAAAAGGAAACAAGTTACAGAAGTATTAAATTTATTTTTGCAAGGCTAACCACAATTAAAATTAAAACTTTTGCTTTGTGTAATTTATTGGAAACAAATTTCTCCAAAATATTGGTAAATTGTAAGTTGAGAAAATCTCTGGAGGCTTTCCAGCTGGCAGAGGCCCCTGGGCTGCGGTCCCTGGGCTGCGGTCCCTGGGCTGCGGTCCCTGGGCTGCAGCCCATGCCTTAATCCAAGTTTAGTGCTTCCTCATGATTACAATATTTCGGACAACTCTTCTCACTTGAGAGAGCAGCTTCGTGTATTGCATCATTTTGGATTAATTTGGCTTAATATTTTGAAAGTGCTTCTGAATTATTTATAGAAAGAATTCCACTGGCGGGTTTGGGCATTATAATAAAAGAAGCACTTGTAATAAAAGAAAATTGTAGAAAGAATTGTGAGTACCTTATCAAACTTATAGTGCTGAACTTTGCAATAAAATATTAAACCCCATTGGATATATAATTACTTTAGTCATCATTGACAAAAAGTGGTCACAAGAGAATCATTATTATTTTTTTTTTTAACAAACCGGCCATCTCCCATCAAGGCAGCATGAACCAAAAAAGAAGACACGCTTTCACTGTCATTCATTCCATCGCTCTTGCCAGAGGGGTGCCAATAATGCAGTTCAGAAGTGCAGATATCCCCAAAACTATGAAGAGTATCCAGCACTGTATGATCCTTATGGGTTTAGCACCTAGTTATGATTACAATAATAATATGAAGAATATGTATCAATAAATATTTGTTTTTGCAGGCTAGTGAATGAGAAAGAATGCCACGGATACCCACAGGTAGTGGTGGTGTCTCGCGGGGAGCCGTGGGAACGGGAGGAAACTCTTTAAACTGGCGAGAAGTACACCAGCGTGTTCGTGAATTAAGAAGAACCTTCCTTCATCTATCTGTCAAAACTCCCACGGATGTTACGTTTCGCCGCCTTGGACCCTCACAGTTACGATGTTATTTTCTCTTGTCTCCGGGTCAGGGCAGAGAATCTACACTATTTTATGCTGATATCAATCTTGAAGAGGTAAGTTTAAAATTGATGGATTATATCTAATCTAGTTTTTATTGCCAGCTTTATCATTCTATTAGAATTTGGAAGATAGGTTAGGTAAGATTGATCAGGAAACAGGTTGAGTGTTTCCTGACACAGGTCTTAGTCATAGATGATCCACCACTGGAGCTTTTGGTCATCTGACTGAGGTCTTCCACTGGCTTACTGGTTCACCCCTTTAAAAATTAAGGCTATAATTATAACTCCATTAATTTCTGATGAATTAGACACTTGTACAACACTTGGGTATCTTTATTGTGGAAATGTTTTGCCAACCAGTGGCTTCCTCAGTCATATACAGAGAAGAATGGTTGAAGATCATCCTGCCAATTCTCTGAGCCATTTATCTACACATTAATTTGTAAGTACGTAGCCGGACATATGTAGTATCAGTATTCCAGGCTTCCTTATTTGCTCTCTGGCAAATTTTGGTTGAAATTTCATTTCATTGTTAGTACATTTCTGATACAGAATAAGTTGGTTATTGCTATTTGAAAGTAATACATTCGTTACATATTCACTGAATCTGTTTTAATGTGTATACCTTAGTGTCCTTATGTACATATGTATAATGTCTATTGCCCTTGTAGTCTCAGGGGTACCTGGGCATGGATTTTTTTTTTAACCCATAGTCTTATGGATCTGCATAACCATGGGCTTTATACATGCATTACCAAGTATCATCCATTTCTGTACAAAGATTGTAACATTAGAAATCAATGTTTGAATTTTGAATAGACTGATATGGATTGGTAATGATCACATAGAAAATTTTTGGGAACTGAGAATAATCATGAAAATTTAAGTGTCTTCAAAAGAGACATTCCCAGTCATTTTTGATGCCATGACTGCTGATCTATGATAATACTTTAAAATATCACAATCAAACATTTTTTTCTTAAAGTGTAGAGAATTTTAAATGTAATTTAAATAAAGTATAATGTAAAAAATTAAAATCGTCGCTTTATGGTATTTAATAAAGTTTAACGAAGGGAGACTTTCCTATTTTTTTTTAACTTTCCCAACAGCATTTTCATTTGATTTCTTGCAAATTTCTTGCAAAGAGTGAGTGGTGCACTTAGGAGTCTGTGGAGACAAAGAACTTTGTCCTTGGAGGCAAAGAGGGGAATGTATGAGAGTATAGTTTTACCAACGCTCTTATATGGGTGTGAAGCATGGGTGATGAATGTTGCAGCGAGGAGAAGGCTGGAGGCAGTGGAGATGTCATGTCTGAGGGCAATGTGTGGTGTGAATATAATGCAGAGAATTCGTAGTTTGGAAGTTAGGAGGAGGTGTGGGATTACCAAAACTGTTGTCCAGAGGGCTGAGGAAGGGTTGTTGAGGTGGTTCGGACATGTAGAGAGAATGGAGCGAAACAGAATAACTTCAAGAGTGTATCAGTCTGTAGTGGAAGGAAGGCTGGGTAGGGGTCAGCCTAGGAAAGGTTGGAGAGAGGGGTAAAGGAGGTTTTTGTGTGCGAGGGGCTTGGACTTCCAGCAGGCATGCGTGAGCGTGTTTGATAGGAGTGAATGGAGACAAATGGTTTTTAAATACTTGACGTGCTGTTGGAGTGTGAGCAAAGTAACATTTATGAAGGGGTTCAGGGAAACCGGCAGGCCGGACTTGAGTCCTGGAGATGGGAAGTACAGTGCCTGCACTCTGAAGGAGGGGTGTTAATGTTGCAGTTTAAAAACTGTAGTGTAAAGCACCCTTCTGGCAAGACAGTGATGGAGTGAATGATGGTGAAAGTTTTTCTTTTTCGGGCCACCCTGCCTTGGTGGGAATCGGCCAGTGTGATAATAAAAAAAAAAAAAATTCTTGCAAATTTTCATTTATTTCTTCAGAACACCTTATTTGATAGGCTTCTAATTTTCAACACTTGTATCATGCATCTCTGGCAAAATTCATGGACTATTTGTATGCATGGGTGCCCAGTGCATGATCCTACATAAAAAACATAAGAAACATAAGAAAGGAGGAACACTGCAGGAGGCCTGTTGGCCCATACTAGGCAGGTCCTTTACAATTCATCCCACTAACAAAACATTTGCCCAACCCAATTTTCAATGCCACCCAAGAAATAAGCTCTGATGTGAAAGTCCCACTCAAATCCAACCCCTCCCACTCATGTACTTATTTATTTATTTATTATCACACTGGCCAACTCCCACCAAGGCAGGGTGGCCTGAAAAAGAAAAACTTTCACCATCATTCACTCCATCACTGTATTGCCAGAAGGGTGCTTTACACTACAGTTTTTAAACTGCAACATTAACACCCCTCCTTCAGAGTGCAGGCACTGTACTTCCCATCTCCAGGACTCAAGTCCGGCCTGCCGGTTTCCCTGAACCCCTTCATAAATGTTACTTTGCTCACACTCCAACAGCACGTCAAGTATTAAAAACCATTTGTCTCCATTCACTCCTATCAAACACGCTCACGCATGCCTGCTGGAAGTCCAAGCCCCTCGCACACAAAACCTCCTTTACCCCCTCCCTCCAACCTTTCCTAGGCCGACCCCTACCCCGCCTTCCTTCCACTACAGACTGATACACTCTTGAAGTTATTCTGTTTCGCTCCATTCTCTCCACATGTCCGAACCACCTCAACCCTTCCTCAGCCCTCTGGACAACAGTTTTGGTAATCCCACACCTCCTCCTAACTTCCAAACTACGAATTCTCTGCATTATATTCACACCACACATTGCTCTCAGACATGACATCTCCACTGCCTCCAACCTTCTCCTCGCTACAACATTCATCACCCATGCTTCACACCCATATAAAAGCGTTGGTAAAACTATACTCTCATACATTCCCCTCTTTGCCTCCAAGGACAAAGTTCTTTGTCTCCACAGACTCCTAAGTGCACCACTCACCCTTTTCCACTCATCAATTCTATGATTCACCTCATCTTTCATAGACCCAACCGCTGACACGTCCACTCCCAAATATCTGAATACATTCACCTCCTCCATACTCTCTCCCTCCAATCTGATATCCAATCTTTCATCACCTAATCTTTTTGTTATCCTCATAACCTTACTCTTTCCTGTATTCACTTTCAATTTTCTTCTTTTGCACACCCTACCAAATTCATCCACCAATCTCTGCAACTTCTCTTCAGAATCTCCCAAGAGCACAGTGTCATCAGCAAAGAGCAACTGTGACAACTCCCACTTTGTGTGATTCTTTATCTTTTAACTCCACGCCTCTTGCCAAGACCCTCGCATTTACTTCTCTTACAACCCCATCTATAAATATATTAAACAACCACGGTAACATCACACATCCTTGTCTAAGGCCTACTTTTACTGGGAAATAATTTCCCTCTTTCCTATATATAATGAGTTTGTTTAGTAGGCTGTAAGCGGGTAGTTAAATGATAAACTTCTTCGGAGGCTTCTTACTTTATTGTTAATGTCGTAGTGGGTACACAGGCTTGTGTTGTGCCCATGGCCCGGGCAAGGCCATCCCACGAGAGAGAGCTGGGAATACTTGTGTGTTCCTGCTAGGCCGCTGTGTGAGTGAGAGCGAGGCATGGGCCGACAGGCTGGCGTGTCTACGAGAGGCCTGGCTACAGAGGGCAGCACCAGCATGGCGCGAAATATGAACTAAGCTGGCAGACAGCATGGGCTGTCTGTGCAGACAGTACAGGCTCTCTACATACATACTCTAACTTGAGCCTCACTATCCTCGTAAAAACTCTTCACTGCTTTCAGTAACCTACCTCCTACACCATACACCTGCAACATCTGCCACATTGCCCCCTTATCCACCCTGTCATACGCCTTTTCCAAATCCATAAATGCCACAAAGACCTCTTTAGCCTTATCTAAATACTGTTCACTTATGTTTCACTGTAAACACCTGGTCCACACACCCCTACCTTTCCTAAAGCCTCCTTTTCATCTGCTATCCTATTCTCCGTCTTGCTCTTAATTCTTTCAATTATAACTCTACCATACACTTTACCAGGTACACTCAACAGACTTATCCCCCTATAATTTTTTGCACTCTCTTTTATCCCCTTTGCCTTTATACAAAGGAACTATGCATGCTCTCTGCCAATCCCTAGGTACCTTTCCCTCTTCCATACATTTATTAAATAATTGCACCAACCACTCCAAAACTATATCCCCACCTGCTTTTAACATTTCTATCTTTATCCCATCAATCCCAGCTGCCTTACCCCCTTTCATTTTACCTACTGCCTCACAAACTTCCCCACACTCACAACTGGCTCTTCCTCACTCCTACAAGATGTTGTTCCTCCTTGCCCTATACACGAAATCACAGCTTCCCTATCTTCATCAACATTTAACAATTCCTCAAAATATTCCCTCCATCTTCCCAATACCTCTAACTCTCCATTTAATAACACTCCTCTCCTATTTTTAACTGACAAATCCATTTGTTCTCTAGGCTTTCTTAACTTGTTAATCTCACTCCAAAACTTTTTCTTATTTCAACACAATTTGTTGATAACATCTCACCCACTCTCATTTGCTCTCTTTTACATTGCTTCACCACTCTCTTAACCTCTCTCTTTTTCTCCATATACTCTTCCCTCCTTGCATCACTTCTACTTTGTAAAAACTTCTCATATGCTAACTTTTTCTCCCTTACTACTCTCTTCACATCATCATTCCACCAATCGCTCCTCTTCCCTCCCGCACCCACTTTCCTGTAACCACAAACTTCTGCTGAACACTCTAACACTACATTTTTAAACCTACCCCATACCTCTTCGACCCCATTGCCTATGCTCTCATTAGCCCATCTATCCTCCAATAGCTGTTTATATCTTACCCTAACTGCCTCCTCTTTTAGTTTATAAACCTTCACCTCTCTCTTCCCTGATGCTTCTATTCTCTTTGTATCCCATCTATCTTTTACTCTCAGTGTAGCTACAACTAGAAAGTGATCTGATATATCTGTGGCCCCTCTATAAATATGTACATCCTGAAGTCTACTCAACAGTCTTTTATCTACCAATACATAATCCAACAAACTACTGTCATTTTGCCCTACATCATATCTTGTATACTTATTTATCCTCTTTTTCTTAAAATATGTATTACCTATAACTAAACCCCTTTCTATACAAAGTTCAATCAAAGGGCTCCCATTATCATTTACACCTGGCACCCCAAACTTACCTACCACACCCTCTCTAAAAGTTTCTCCTACTTTAGCATTCAGGTCCCCTACCACAATTACTCTCTCACTTGGTTCAAAGGCTCCTATACATTCACTTAACATCTCCCAAAATCTCTCTCTCTCCCTCTGCATTCCTCTCCTCTCCAGTGCATACACGCTTATTATGACCCACTTCTCGCATCCACCTTTACTTTAATCCACATAATTCTTGAATTTACACATTCATATTCTCTTTTCTCCTTCCATAACTGATCCTTCAACATTACTGCTATCCCTTCCTTTGCTCTAACTCTCTCAGATACTCCAGATTTAATCCCATTTATTTCCCCCCACCGAAACTCCCCTACCCCCTTCAGCTTTGTTTCGCTTAGGGCCAGGACATCCAACTTCTTTTCATTCATAACATCAGCAATCATCTGTTTCTTGTCATCCGCACTACATCCACGCACATTTAAGCATCCCAGTTTTATAAAGTTTTTCTTCTCTTTTTTAGTAAATGTTTACAGGAGAAGGGGTTACTAGCCCATTGCTCCCGGCATTTTAGTCGCCTCATACGACACACATGGCTTATGGAGGAAAGATTCTTTTCCACTTCCCCATGGACAATAGAAGAAATAAAGAGGAACAAGAGCTATTTAGAAAAAGGAGAAAAACCTAGATGTATGTATATATATATGCATGTGCGTGTCTGTGAAGTGTGACCAAAGTGTAAGTAGGAGTAGCAAGATATCCCTGTTATCTAGTGTGTTTATGAGACTGAAAAAGAAACCAGCAATCCTACCATCATGCAAAACAGTTACAGGTTTCTGTTTCACAGTCATCTGGCAGGACGGTAGTACTTCCCTGGGTGGTTGCTGTCTACCAACCTACTACCTCATGTACTTATCCAACCTAAATTTGAAACTACCCAAAGTCCCAGCCTCAATAACCCAACTAGGTAGACTGTTCCACTCATCATCTACCCTATTTCCAAACCATTACTTTCCTATGTCCTTTCTAAATCTAAACTTATCTAATTTAAATCCATTACTGCGGGTTCTCTCTTGGAGAGACATCCTCAAGACCTTATTAATATCCCCTTTATTAATACCTATCTTCCACTTGTACACTTCGATCAGGTTTCTCCTCATTCTTCGTCTAACAAGTGAATGTAACTTAAGAGTCTTCAATCTTTCTTCATAAGGAAGATTTCTAATGCTATGTATTAATTTAGTCATCCTAAGCTGAATGTTTTCTAACGAATTTGTCCATTCTGTAATATGGAGACCAGAACTGAGCTGCATAATCTAGGTGAGGCCTTACTAATGATGTATAAATCTGCAGTATGACCTCTAGACTTCTGTTGCTTACACTTCTTGATATAAATCCCAGTAATCTATTTGCCTTATTACGTACGCTTAGGCATTGCTGTCTTGGTTTAAGGTTGCTGCTCACCATAACCCCCAAGTCCTTTTCGCAATCTGTATGGCTAAGTTCTACATCATTTAACTTGTAAGTACTAGGGTTATGGGCACTCCCAAGCTTCAGAACCTTGCATTTATCTACATTGAACTACATCTGCCACTTTTCTGACCAAGAATAGAGTTTGTTTAAATCCTCCTGAAGTTCCATAACATCTACGTTTGAATCAATTATCCTACCTATCTTTGTGTCATCGGCGAATTTGCTCATATCACTAGTAATTCCCTCATCAAGATCATTGATATATATTATAAACAACAACGGACCCAAGACTGATCCCTGTGGAACGCCACTTGTTACAGATCCCCACTCGGATTTAACCCCATTTATGGACACTCTCTGCTTCCTGTCAGTGAGCCATGACTCGATCCACGAGAGCACTTTTCCCCCAGTGCCATGAGCTGCCACTTTCTTTAACAGTCTATGGTGTGGAACTCTATCAAAAGCCTTACTAAAATCTAAGTAAATGATATCAAATAATCCATCCTCAAATTTTATTTGTGTGATAGATGGAGACAGGCTCCACTGTTTGGCTTAAAATTTTTAACACTTGTGTATCCTACTCAGGAGGAGGTTGGTATATTTAGTGGAGTGTGTAGGTGCCATTTTATCACTTAATCTCAAAATGGTATTGCATTATTTTATTTCATTATTTTGCCTTGATGCTGGTGAGGGGCTCTTGATCCAAAGAACTGGACTTTTCTTCCCCTGGCTTGGATCTAATTTGAATGCCTTCCATTTCACAGGCGCTAGATGACCTGCATAGCATTTGTTGTCATTAAAATATAACGGTTATGAGCAGCACCAATTTTAGGAATAATGGTAAAATTTCTGACTATGTTAAGCAAAAGGACACAGGTGCAGCTTATGTGACATTTGTCAAGACATAACTGCTTAACAAAGCTCCTGAAGAGGGAAACGTTGCCACAATAAAATGTCACATAAGTTGCACTTGTGTCCTTTTATCTAAAATGGCATCAGTCTTCAATGTCTGATACATTATGTAAAATGGATGGAATGTTTCATAGGTGTAAGCTGTGTAGTCACAAATTGTTGGATTCTGTGCAGTAACTGGGAAATTCATCTTCTGGTCAGCTTTAAACCTTTAGAGCTCGTGTATTTTCTTCAAAGGGAACAATTGCTTGATGTTAGGTTGTGTAAATTATAAATGTGTCAGTTTTATCAATGAAATTGTTTTCTGAATTAATTGGAAAAAGTCTATTCTGATCAGAAATAAGGCAGTATCTGACTTTATTTAGTCATCCCAAGTTAAATCAACTGAATATTATTTTGTGTGTGTATAACATGTGTGCCCTCAAGACCATTGTTAAAAATGTATGTACACTAACTTTACTTCTCAAAGTTTGTCAATCTTCCTTGGAAAAAAAAAAAAGTTGGCTTGATTTTGGGTTGTTTAGGTCCCAGTTTGCTTTTATAGAAAAAAATTGAATTGCTGCTTGTCATGCAGTAATTTTTTTGAATTTTACTTGTGATTAGCCTCAACCCTTCCTTGCCGGTGACTTGATAATTCAACTTATCAGCAACTTCAGGCTTAATGTACTTGTGTATTTTAGGATATTGGTCACTCTGAAAGGTTCAAATTACATTGAGGCTGTGTATGTCCTAATTTACAAATTTTATTAAAGAAATTTACAGCTTTAGTTTTTATGTGATTTGTGAATGCGTCTTCTGATTCCCCTGAAATATTTAACCTCATTATCATTTGTACCTCACTCTGCACTATCCCAGTTGTGTGCATTGAGTTATGTGACTGGGATTATGGACTACAGGGATACCTTCCTCGGATTGTTCTGTGACCGAGATACATGTGGTTTCTTGAGAGAAAATACTGAGTTAAGAAATTTGTTGCAACATTGAAAAAATTATGAATCATTGCTTTGTTTACTTGCATGAGCACGGTCCAGTTGTGTGTATGAATGCTGCATTGTAGTAAAAGTGGTAGTGAAAAGTTGGTGCAAGTAATTGGTTAAATTAACTTCTCTGATTTTTATTCCACCTCAGACTTGGGGTAGTAGAATTGTATACCAAGAAGTATTGGATTCGGGCCATTCCTTCCTCTGGCGGCGGACGTCTCGTGAAGAACAGCTGCTGAGTGAACGGCGCCGCATCTCCACTTGGGGAATTACAAACTACGAACTCCATCCCACATCTGGTACTCTGGTATTCCCAGCATCTTCCACCATTTTCCAGTGTGTACATCCAGAACGACCGGTATGTACTACTATCTTTAATATATAAATGACCTTAATCATCTGTGACTTGGTATATATTTTCTGCCTATCACATTAGTTTCTCCTCACTTAATGACGGAGTTCCATTCCTAAGAGTAGGTCAGTAAACAAATTGGTCATTAAGTGAGGAGCGTACTACAGTGGACCCCCGGCATTCGATGGCATCGGTATACGTTAAATCCGGTATTCGATACATTTTAACACAAAAATTTTGCCTCGCCACTCGTTAAAAAACCCGCCACACGCGATTCGTCTGGGACGCGTCCACATGTGGCCTGAACTGCCCCGTGAGTGCCAGTGTTTACAAGCCAGCCAGTGTGCTCGCATCGAAGCATACATTCGGTACATTCCATATTATCACAGTGTTTTTGGTGCTTGTTTCTGCAAAATAAGTCACCATGGGCCCCAAGAAAGCTTCTAGTGCCATCCCTGTGGTAAAAAGGGTGAGAATTAGTATGGAAATTAAGAAAGATTTTGAAGGGTTTGGGGCTAACCCTGAGAAGCCTATGCCAGTTGTGGAATCCATTGTGCCTACTTCAAAAATTAAGGAAATGTGTGCCAAGTGGGTTGAACTGCAAACCGTTATGGATGAAAATCACCCTAACACAGCTATTGCAAGCCGTGCTGTTGACTATTACAATGACAATGTTATGGCCCATTTTAGACAAATCTTAAAAGGAATGGGAGGTACAGACCTCTATGGACAGATTTGTTGTGCAACAGAGGTCCATTGGCTCTCAAGCTGGTCCTAGTGGCATTAAAAGAAGAAGGGAAGTAACCCCAGAAAAGGACTTGCTACCTCAAGTCCTAATGGAAGGGGATTCCCCTTCTAAACATTAACAACTTCGACACTCTCCCCTCCTCCCATCCCATCAATCATCACCAGATCTTCATTAAAGGTAAGTGTCATGTATTCTATTGTTAGTAGAGTACTACAAACTGTGCATGTCTTCTTCAGTTTGTGTGTATTGAACTTAATATTTCATGTGGTAAATTGTTTTTTTTCATACTTTTGGGTGTCTTGCACGGATTAATTTGATTTCCATTATTTCTTATGGGGAAAATTAATTCGCCTTCCGATAATTTTGGCATACGATGAGCTCTCGGGAACGGATTAATATCGTATACCGGGGGTCCACTGTATACTGGTAGTGGCTTTGTGTCAACCATAGTGTTTTAATGTTGCCTTTTCCCCATTTATAACTTTTTTAGCATAGTTTTAAATGTTTATAGAGTAGTGAACTGTATATTGTAATAAACAGAATAAAGGAAATCAGCTGTAATATACATTACAGTGGAACCCCGAGTTTTGGCCTCCCTGAGTATCAGCTGCTTCAAGTTTCGACTGCATTCTCGGCTAAATTTTTTCCCGAGTTTTGGCCTGTGCCCCATGTTTCGGCCAGTGTACCAGACCTGTTCGCCTGCCTGCACAGGCATTGTGAACCAGTCTAGCTTTATCCTTGAGTGAACATTACCCTGTGTGCTCATCCAAACATTTCACAATAAATTCATTGTGTTTAGTGCTTATTTATTGATTGTGACTGAAATAAGCCACCATGGGCTCAAAGAAACTTCGTAGTGGCAGCCCTTTGGTAAAGAAAGTGAGAAACATGATAGAATTAAAGAAAGAAATTGTAACAAAGTACCAAAGTGGAGGAGGAAGAGAGAGGGGAGAATGTGCTTTCTTCAGTGATTCTGCGATATGTACGATACTAAAGTAGCACAAGTCGATAAAGTCTATAGTGCTAGCCAGCGATAAAGTGTAGCATTAACAGTGTAGCAAGTAAGTTAAGCGATTAAACGATAGAAAAAGGACAACATGAAACCGGCTCCTCCATTGTTGTTGGAGTTACGTAGGGTGACTGACAACGCCGCTCTCTCTGCTGCTGCCATCACCACCACTATGTAAGGCCCTTATACACCCAACAACAAACAACACAGCAACACTAGTCAGTTGGGGAGAGAGACATATGATGTATTTTATTCATTCTAGAGTATATATCATGATTCTGTGTTATTAATATTGTTTATTATGTCAGATGAATTGTGCTAGATAAATAAGCCGTAGAGCTGATATTAATGTCATATTGAAGGACTATCTTGTCCTGCCTCTAAACAAGCTCTTCTGCTTCTCTCATATGCCATTAAAATTAGTGCTTTATATTTATTTCTCGTTGTTTTCTGTATGTAACACTATAGTGTTTATTCTTTAAAAACTGAATTTTTTTGTGAATATTTTTGGGTGGAACAGATTAAGTGCATTTACATTATTTCTTATGGGAAATATTGCTTCGACTTTAGGCAGTTTCGATTTGAGGCCTAGCTTCTGGAACGGATTATGGCCAAAACTCAGGGTTCCACTATACAGTGGACCCCCGGTTAACAATATTTTTTCACTCCAGAAGTATGTTCAGGTGCCAGTACTGACCGAATTTGTTCCCATAAGAAATATTGTGAAGTAGATTAGTCCATTTCAGACCCCCAAACATACACGTACAAACGCACTTACATAAATACACTTACATAATTGGTCGCATTCGGAGGTAATCGTTATGCGGGGGTCCACTGTACTTAGGTATTCATACTGGTCCAAGAGCTGGTCGTAACGAGACTCACGAAATCGTGATGACACGATTGCAAACAAACCATACCCCGGCCGGGATTGAACCCGCGGTCATAGTCTCAAAACTCCAGCCCGTCGCGTTAGCCACTAGACCAGCTAGCCACAATAAGATTCGTCCAACTAGGTATATTTCTACACCATAGGAAGGTTAGCTGGAGATTCGTCTGTAAAAACTTGCATTTGTGGTCACAGTGGTGCCTGTGCTAACCTTCCTGTGGTGTAGAAATATACCTAGTTGGACGAATCTTATTGTGGCTAGCTGGTCTAGTGGCTAACGCGACGGGCTGGAGTTTTGAGACTCTATGACCGCGGGTTCAATCCCGGCCGGGGTATGGTTTGTTTAGCTGGTCGTAAGTCTGAGCGGCCATTAAACGAGTACATCTTTAAGTGAGGAGGGACTGTATTTGATGCTGAATCTAAAAATACAGTGGACCCCCACATAACGATTACCTCCGAATGCGACCAATTATGTAAGTGTATTTATGTAAGTGCGTTTGTACGTGTATGTTTGGGGGTCTGAAATGGACTAATCTACTTCACAATATTTCTTATGGGAAAAAATTCGGTCAGTATTGGCACCTGAACATACTTCTGGAGTGAAAAAATATCGTTAACCGGGGGTCCACTGTACAGTGGTGGGAATAACACACATTAGGGGTTCTGGATATTTAATCAAATCATTTTTTAAAAAATTAAAAAAAATCATTTGCTTGCAATAAAATTTAAGATGAAAAAGAATTGAGTACAGTTTAATTTGTTTGGGACAGTTTGGTGTCACATTGAGTACTGTGCTATACTTTGCATCTAGTTGATGAAGTTATCTGTTTACTGGTTTTGGGGACTGTCCTCCTCACAGTGTAATGTCAGACTAGGCTTCCTAGGTTAATAAGAAAATACTGGATAACAGTATTAAAAACTATTAAGGAGTACATGGGTAAGTAAAGGTATGCATATACTGAGTATAAGTAGATAATGACAGATTGAAAATGTGTTGGGCAAGTAGTTTTGTTAGTGGGTTCAGGTTTGAGAAGGACTTGCCTTGTATGGGCCAGTAGGCCTGCTGCAGTGTTCCTCCTCCTCCTCTTATGTACATGAGATTATTAAACACAAGTCTAACCTGAGTGATGTGTGGATGTATATTTTTGTGACTTGTTGTATATAGTCCACTGATGACTAAAAGAAATATTTACAAAAGACCTGGTCATTTTTTCACAGCACTCTGGGCAAGTGTATAAATTACCTAATAATTATCAAAAGTAATAGTTGTGGTACTTGGCAGTTACCTAAATAATTGTTTGTGGAGATACAGTAATGTACATAATTGCAGTGTGACAGAATGCTTAATACACTACAGTAGTTACAAATTGTTAGTATGATGGTTGGTGGATACACAGTACTGTTCTATAAAAGGAAAAGTAATTCATTTTGGGATAATGTACTCATTGCATAATGTGTTTGTAGTGCTTTTGCTTCACTTTGTGAGGTGCTAAACCGGTGTAGATTATTTAGCACAAGGAAGAGTAGAGGCTCAAGCCTCCACTCAATAATCATGGAAGTCTCTCCATACTTAGTCATATAGCAAGCATCTACATAATGGATGTAAATTTGTCATTGCTGTTTATTAGGGTACTATATGAATAATAACAATAAATTAAGATAAGTTAAAATTGGAATACAGTACTGTGTTTTTTTGAATATTGTGTAGTGTTGTACTGTGAAGTGTTACAAAGGTACTGTAATTAACTTCAGTCATACTCTAATCTTAACCTCTTAGGCTACTGTTTGTACAAACGAGTTAGGTGTGAACTGTTGCAGCCATGATATTTTGACTTTTTGCAAATTTGTAATGTGAAGAATAATAAGTCAAAATACCATGGTCAGAATAGTTTACAACTAGTTCACAAGATAGAGATGAAAATCTGTCTTTTACTGAAGTTAAGATGATAAATAATCTATTTGTCCAAACACCTAAAATTTTGTATCTTTGTAACAGTAAGTTTGGTCTCTCAAAATCTTAATAACACAGTTGTAAACAAACCATGGAATAGAAGGGAATTGAACCCATGGCAAGCGGGTTGCAGAACTACAGGCCAGTGTGCAAGCCACTAGGCCAGCTGGCTACAATAAGATTCATCCCTGGGTTCAATCCCTGCCCATTTCGTGGTTTGGTTAGTAAGTTGAGTATTGTGCTAAACTGTTTAAGCTGGAGCATACAGCATAACTAATGTGAACATATTTTCAGACTGGGCCTATTAGCCCCAGAGAATTACCTAGTGTGCCAATCAGACTCAACCCACAAATATGCCCTGCGAACCCCAACCTTATTGCCTTTGCGGCTCGATATGACATTTATCTTTATAATACTAAAACAGGTATGTTTAACCTTGTGTGTTGCTCTTTTTAAAATAAAGCAAACAATAATAGTCCATGAAGGTAATTTTATAGTGGTTCAAGTTTAATAAATTTTTAATGAATTTTATCTGGTACTTGTTGTTTGGTAATTATGCATATTTGTTTTAGAATTTTGGAATAAATAATGATGTAGATTTGTGTTGGTAATAAAAGTATTGTATATTTATGTGCAGAATTCACATGACATAATAGTTTGTTGTATAAATTAATTTATTTTAATCTGTTGCTCAGTATTATTCCTCTAATATACTCTTGCTACTCTGTGAACCCAGGTCTTTCATGGTAGACTTAACCGGAATTGCATTTAACAGCATGCTAGTGTAGTAGAAAAGCTGTGGAGGGAATGAGAGAAATGTTAACTGTGTATATCAAAAAAAGCTTGCATTGGGGAATATTAAAATATTTGGAAAATGTATTTAACAAGGGTTATAGGAGGATACTGAGATGTTGAAATTTTTTGACCGAGGCAAATTGCTGAGGGCTGATGTCTGTTATGAGCCGAAGCATAATTAGGATTAGAAGAGTAGTAGTCAAGTAGAATAACATGTTACGTGGAAGGATGGGTAGTAGTGGAGCTGGTCAAGGAAAGGTGGTTAGGTTAGGTTTGTCAGGAAACGGGACAAGTGTTTCCTGACCCGGGTCTTGGTCATATGATGACCAAAAACTCTGCAGCTGGAGCTTTTGGTCATCTGACTGAGGCCTTCCACTCCACCCCATTAAAAACTAAGATTATGATGATAACCAGATAGGTGGTGTGGGGGGATGGGGAGTAAAATGTAAATGGAAGGGAATGCTTAGCTAGTGCATGTTAGAGGTGTTGAGTATCTGGGATGGGAGTGAAGAGAGATCCAGCAGTTGCCTCATTATTTCATATACAGTCGTAGAAACCTGAAGTTGGAATAAATACATTACTTATAAAATATAATTGTGAGTTTTTTTGTCACTTCAGATTGTGTTATTCCACCATTTTCTGCTGATTATATATATATAGTTTTGGGTGAATATAAAATATAATTTGCAAGATTTTCTTGTCCTTTTCTTCATATTATGTTATTACTTCTCTTATTTTCTACTGATTGTATATATAGTTTTGGGTGACTATTGTATTTTGTGACAGGGGAGGAGAAAAGAGTAACTCATGTACATAGTGGTAGCGGCCGACTAGAATACGACCCCAAGAGTGCGGGGATGCCCTCTTATGTAATGCAGGAAGAGTTTTCCCGTTATCAAGGCTACTGGTGGCAACCTGTATCTCCAGGTATGTCACCCTTATTTATTCCAAAATATTAATCGTGTTGTCATTGACTTTCAGAAAATGTGTAAGTCCTGTGGTATCATTTCAAGAGTAATAAAATCCTTCTAGTGGCCCAGTGGTCTAGTGGCTAAAGCTCCCGCTTCACACACGGAGGGCCCGGGTTCGATTCCCGGCGGGTGGAAATTCCGACACGTTTCCTTACACCTATTGTCCTGTTCACCTAGCAGCAAATAGGTACCTGGGTGTTAGTCGACTGGTGTGGGTTGCATCCTGGAGGACAAGATTAAGGACCCCAATGGAAATAAGTTAGGCAGTCCTCGATGACGCACTGACTTTCTTGGGTTATCCTGGGTGGCTAACCCTCCGGGGTTAAAAATCCGAACGAAATCTTATCTTATTAATTTTCTTAACCCTTTGACTGTCGAAGGGCCCAATCCTGAAGTGTCTCCTGGTGTCGCAAAATATTCGAAAAAAAAAAATTATTTTTTCTTATGAAAATATTAAGATTATTTTTCTGATTGTTTTAGTCCCCCCAAAAAATTTTTCCCATCAGTACTTACCGAGATATAGAGGCATAAAGTTTGCAGAAAATGAGCCGCGTATGGCAACAGCGGCGACTGCCGCTCACCTGGTAAACTTTAGTTTACTTGTATTTGAAGGTTTGTTGTTCTTTTCACTATTTTATTTTTTCACATAACTTATGTGGCCTGTGAGACCAAAGTAAGGTGCAATGTACATATATACACTCGTTGTATACAACACAATAAGCACACAAACATAATTATCAATATATTGTTTACAAAACTTGTTTACAAAAACAAACAATACAAAAAATTGTTTATTACTATTGTTCTATAATATATATATATATATATACCAATATACAGTCACTGAATATATTCCTAGAAGTTCTGCAGCTTGTGGAACTCTGTGAAACATGGTGTCATACACAGTGGTGTTTTACACTCTTACACATAAAACATGGTGTCATACACAGTGGTGTTTTACACTCCTCACACATAAAACATGGTGTCATACACAGTGGTGTTTTACACTCACACATAAAACATGGTGTCATACACAGTGGTGTTTTACACTCTCACACATAAAACATGGTGTCATACACAGTGGTGTTTTACACTCTCACACATAAAATCAGTGTGTGTGCATTTTTGTTGAATTTTTTTTTTATGTGCAAAGACAAAACACCTTGTCTGAGCAGTTTTCTTCAAAGTATTAGCAGGCAGTTGTGTTACGTAGTTATCCTAGGTAAATGGTCGTGTGTCATCATTCCTTCCTAATTTCCTTCATTCCTTTCCTACCTGGAGGCTACCTGGAGGGCATTCCACCTCTCTTCCTACATTCCTTCATCTGTCCTTCATTACTTTTTTCCTTCCTTTCATCTAGTCCTTCCTTCATTCCTGCCTTCCCTTCTTGCTTCTGGTTTCTATAATATATATTCACATATATAGTCACTAGATACTTTCATAAAACTGCTATTATCACCCTTCAGCAAGCTTGTCTTGTGTGCCAGTGTGTGGCTTATAATTGTTTTGAGTCAGGAGTCGGCAGCTGTCAAAATGACATATTGTCTCATTAGTCACTCCCCCTACCGCCTGTCAAAACAATGGGGTCGGATGCTGCTTCCCCCTCCATTCTATCTAATTATCTTTCTCCCTCATTCTATCTCTTTCAATCTGTCTCTCTTTCTCTCTCTCTGTCTGTCTCTGTCTCACAGGTACACATAAATACAACTATACATAGTGTAAATTACCTAGGATAACCCAAAAAATCCAGACAAAGTGCTACTACTCTGCTTGAAGATGTGAGTAAACGTGATGAAGACACAGTCTTGTGGCTCTCTCTGAGACAGAGCTAGACAGATAGACAGGGAGTTTGGCAGACAGACAAATAGAACAGACAGACAAATTTTGTTCGTGGTCATCTCCTCCTCCTCCTCCCCCTCCTCCTCCTTCTCCTCCTCCTCCTCCTCCTCCTCCTCCTCCTCCTCCCCCTCCTCCACCTCCTCCTTCCTCCTCCTCCTCCTCCTCACCTCCTCCTCCACCTCCTCCTCCTCCTCCTCCTCCTCCTCCTCCTCCTCCTTCTCCTCCTCCTCCCTCCTCCTCCTCCTCCTCCTCCTCCTCCTCCTCCTCCTCCCTCCTTCCCCCTCCTTCTCCTCCTCCTTCTCCTCCTTCTCCTCCTTCTCCTCCTTCTCCTCCTTTCCTCCTCCTCCTCCTCCTCCTCCTCCTCCTCCTCCTCTCCCCCTCCTCCTCCTCCTCCTCCTCCCTCCTCCTCCTCCTCCTCCTCCTCCTCCTCCTCCTCCTCCTCCTCCTCCTCCTCCTCCTCCTCCTCCTCCTTTCCCCCTCCTCCTCCTCCTCCTCCTCCTCCTCCTCCTCCTCCTCCTCCTCCTCCTCCTCCTCCTCCTCCTCCTCCTCCTCCTCCTCCTCCTCCTCCTTTCCCCCTCCTCCTCCTCCTCCTCCTCCTCCTCCTCCTCCTCCTCCTCCTCCCTCCTTTCCTCCTCCTCCTCCTCCTACCTCCCTCCTCCTCCTCCTCCTCCTCCTCCTCCTCCTCCTCCTCCTCCCTCCTCCTCCTCCTCCCTCCCTCCCCTCCTCCCTCCTCCCTCCCTCCCTCCCTCCCTCCCTCCCTCCCTCCCTCCCCTCCTCCTCCTCCTCCTCCTCCTCCTCCTCCTCCTCCTCCTCCTGGCTCTTAACAGATGGACAGCTGCCCCCCTCCCTCCACCCTCGTTTACCCTCATCAAAGGTCAGCTCTTATCAGATGTTATCTCCCCTTATCTTGTCACTGTCATGGGGTGAACTGTTTTCATGCCTCAAGGGAACATATTATTACATATTATTATTATTAGGTATTATTATTATTCTTATTCTTCTTCTTCCTCCTCCTTCCACCTTCCTCCTCCCTTCCTCCTCCTCCCTCCTTCTTCCTTCCTCCTCCCTCCTTCCTCCTCCCTCCTTCTTCCTCCTCCCTCCCTCCTCCCTCCTACCTCCTCCTCCCTCCTTCCTCCTCCTTCCTTCCTCCTCCTCTTCTTCCTCCTCCTCTTCTTCCTCCTCCTCCACCTCCTCCATTGCTTTTGGTCTCAAACTCCTCGAAATCATGAAATTGATCTTCATTGACACTTCCATCTGTGTTAGAGCATCACTTGGGAAGAGAAGAGTCCCAGATTTGCAGGGAAGTCACATATTTCTTACCGCTAGACATGCTGAAAAAGGACGACTGAAATGGTATTCCCACAATGCACCACTGGCTCCCCGATTTTTTTTATATGGTGCACACTGACCATGGAGACCCATTCTCTCACATGTGGGCCTACCAGCTTTCTCCTGCTTGATTTGAAGCTGCTAGAATTTATGCATATAGATACGTCAAACACCGTATCTCCTATGACGTACATATAGGACCGCGCGACAGTCAAAGGGTTAATGCATTTCTACAGAGAAATAATAATGAAACCAGTATGAATAGATTGACAAGTCTATTAGCTATGGAAAAAAAAATTGGCTATACTGTACCCGATATTGTGAAGTAAGTGAATGTATAGGAGGGCCCTGTTCATATGATTTTTAGGTTAGTGACCCCGAATGATAAGCAAAAATTGACAGCAGGTGGAGTTTTAGTTAGTTAGTTTAATATGTTTATTATGCACCCCATACCCATCCTGTGGGCGGTAGTCAAAAGATTACAGAGGTACATAATTGGTCCAGGGACTGGACTCCAAAGTTTTGATAGCTGAGCAAGTTACAGAGGTAATGAACTCACAATTTACAAAGGTAATGAACTCACAATTTACAAAGGTAATGAACTCCAGGTAAGTCTGGTCACAATCATGACAAGTTACAAAGGTATTTACAGATTACAGAGGTACGTAATGGGTCCAGGGACTGGGCCCCCAAAGTTTTGATAGCTGAACTAGGTACAGCAGGTGGAACAGGGCCTTTTTGTGTTTTTCTTTTCAGATATGTTTAAAATGCCTAGTAATGTGTTTACACAGTAATATGTTAAATACAGCGGACCCTCGGTTATCGGCCGTAATCCATTCCAGAAGGTCGGCCTAAAACCGAAATGGCCGAAAACTGAAATAACATTTTCCATAAGAATTAATGTAAATCCAATTAATCCATTTCAGACACCGAAAAATTTTAACAGAAAATACATTTTTTAAAGATTAACTAGGGTTTAACATACACAAAACAATGAGAACTAAATAAAATGACTAATGAAATAGATAAATAAACATTTAAATAATTTTTACCTTTATTGCGTATGCTAAATGGCAAGGAGCGGAGAGGGTCAAGTTTATTGTTTGGAAACAGGACAGAATGCTTAAATATGATGCTGTTATCAACTCCATGGCTTATCTATCACAATTCATCTAATATGACATAAGCAATATTAATAACATAGAAACATGATATGTACTCTTGAATGAATAACATACGTCATTACGTATGTGAGGACTGGTGGTGGTGTTGGGTTTATAAAGGCCACTGACAGCATAAGCCGTACATATAGTGGTGATGGCGGCTCTGCTACCACCACTATTCACACTGAAACAATGTATATAATTTATAAATAAGAAATATTTACACTTACTGTACCTTGGAGGAGATACTGGCATTGGTTTAGGGTGGTAGAAGATAGGCAGGGTGGTGTATATTGTCAGTGGCCCTATATACCTCCAACAACATTGGAGGAGTCAGTTTTGTGTCGTCCTTTTTCTATTGCTTAACTTACTTGCTACACTGTTAATGCTACGCTTCATTGCTGGCTGACGTTATAGCCTTTATTGACTTCTGCTGGTTTAGTATTCTACATATTGTAGAATCACTGAAGAAGGCACATTCTCTCCTCTCTCTTCCTCCTTCACTTTCGTACTTTGCTACGGGTGGATGCATCCATTACGGCTGATAACTGAAATAACGGCCGATAACCGGGATAAAATTTCGGCCAAAAAAACGGGCGATAACCAAATTAGCCGATATCCAGAA